TTCTCCGATTTTTGTTTCTGAATTATTTCGCACACTAGTATTTCTTAATGTTTTCGCGTCCAACTTCAACTTTTCAACATTTGCATTAAGCTCATCGACAAAGTTAAATCGAGAGACAACTTTTCTAAGATCGTTGCAATGCTTCATAATTTTTTTGTAATTTTCATCAGCAGCAGCTTCAAGCTCAGGAAGTCCAGATTCTTCTTTAATAATTTCGCAAAGTCTTTTGGTTTCTTTGATTAATTTAACGTTTTTATGGAAATGGCTGAATAAATATAACAAAACTGGGTTAATAAAAACCTGTCGAGACTTTAAAACACATTATTATCAGAGTGAATTACCTTGTAGGACCACATCCACATTTTTTGCATATGCTTTTACTATCCATGCAAGCACAATAATTGAATGGAATATTCTTTCCATGTTCCACGGTACGATTAAGATAACAACGGTCATGACAAATAAGATCAGTATGTATGATACAAACTGTACTATGATAATTGGCAGGAACAATTTTCTCAAGTGTGATTTCTTCATTTATATCTGCATGAGACTCTTCTTTTTCTTTTATTTCATCCAGCACTTTTTGAATATTCGCAATGTTGACGGCTGCTTCAAAAAGCTCAAATTTGATTTGGTTTCGAAGGGGTTTCATTTTCCTAAAGTGTTCGGCTGGTTTAGAGAGTGGCAGAGAAAATTTTATCAACATATCATTAATTGTTGATTTGGAATTCTTCCATTGCAACTTAAGAAGTTTATAACCAATACCACTTCTTGGCCTGGTTGTAGGATCGTTACAAAATGCTTGGTTATCCATATAAAAAATATCCTAAAACAAAAAAGGTGGCAATCTTCGTTGTTAATTTTCATATAAATAAATATATGCAGTTAACCGAATCTATTGGTTATAATGTGAATTTAATTGATTAATCACTAACCCTTGGCTTTCCAAGATGTTCTGTAAAAGTATTGACAGAAAATTCAGTAGATTCCTTTGTACACTTTGTTAAAATTAGGAAAAGGTTATCTTCGATCATGGCATCAGGTAAGTTATTTGCCAGGAGAACCAAAGCGAGTTTTATTGTTGGATTCATTCTAGGTTCAGATCCATTAGCAATAACTACGATAGCTGATATTGAACCAACGCTAATTGCTGTATCAATTATCTCTTTGATATTAACGTCATCTTGTTCCATACCCCTTGTATCACTCAACCCTGGGGTATCAATAAAGATAAATCTATAAGCAGGATTTTCGGGATGATTGAAAGCATATGTGTTGCATTTTGTGGTTTTACTCTTTGTCACATCATCGATATCAGTTTCAGAATGATCGAATTCTTGAAATAGTGAAAAGAAAAAATTCAAAATTAATGACACCAATGCTTGTTTTTATATAATAGTCTTAAATTATACCTTCTTCAGTCACATCAAGATGAGCTGTTGGAATGACAACTTTCAGATTATCAAGAGTACCACCCAGAAAGTAATTTGAAATTGTATTGATTACGGTTGATTTTCCAGTTCCAGTTCCTCCCAATAAAAGAACTTTGAAGGCACCTGGTGGTCCACCAACTTCGCTAATACTTTTTGAGTTTATTGGTCCCTTTTTGGAGTACTGGTTATTGGTTACATGCTGCCAAATATCACTACCACGTAGAAACGCTTTTTTATCCAATTCGTTCGGGTGGTCTAGGGATCCATCACAAGTATCTGTGTCGGAATCGTCATTCGAATCATAAAAATCGCAATAATCCATTGTTAAAGAAAAAATTATTAAATTTATTCTTTTTACAAGATTAAATTTGATAGGATAGTATGATCTGAACGGGTTAGTTTTATGCAATTTACACAAGATAAGCAATTTTTGTATTCAATATTTATTTTCCACACACGCACAACAGGCGGCGCAAATGTTTATTTATTTGAAAGTCCGATCTTTATTTTTTCATTAACTCAAAATCGAAAAAGACAATTTTTGTTTGGCGTAAATATTTAAGAATTCTTGGATTATGCGTAACGTAACTATTAATAGATGAATGAAATATTTAAGGAGTCAGTAAAAACGAATGATTAGTATGATTATTTAGTGAAATGTTGTTAATATGAATGAATATATAAATAAAAATTTGCCAATCGTCAACCTTTACACACACAGAAAGTTGTATATTACATGATAATCTAAAAATTAACAGACTTTACTATGTGTTGACAAGGAAATTGCCAATCGTCAACCTTTACAATACTCTTGTTGTGCCGCAGGGTGATATTAATATATGAATAGGGCTAGGAGAATTCTATTGTATTAATGCAAATATCGAAAGTTGTTTATGGATATTTTCTGTTTATGTAAAGATTTATTGTGACCTTTTTTGGAATTTTATTTTTGCGTTACAGAATAATAAAATCCAAAATGATTTCATCTAAAATTAAATAATATAGTTAATGGTTTAGATTATAGAATTCTGTATCGTATATTTGGACGTTTCACCGATTCATTCATGTACATAAGTGGAAATTATTTTTTTTTCTAGTAGTTATTTTATTGTTAATGCGATGTTCGTATTTCCAGCAATACTACTATAAGCCAACTAACCACCTTTGACCCAAAGATTTTAAAAAGTTAATAAAAGTGTGAAGAACGCGCACATAATACCGGTCTCTCGTAATGCTTGGCACATATAAAAATGTATAACACTGATTGTTAAAAATAAAATTATATTTATTTACCATCCATCTTGTCCAGTTTTAAATTTTTTATTATTACCATGCTTTTACCAGGAAATCTTGATTAGAGGTATATAGAAATTTCATCCATCATTAGCACTTAACATTAGCATGTATCATCAACAAAAAAGAATATGATGTTGTTGATACTAACACCCATGAAGTTCCTATTAACAATCACATTTGTGTCATAATAATCAAAAATGTCTTGCCACAACCAAATATTAACAAATATCAAAGCGTCTTGCCACTACTACCAATAAAAACAACAAAAATCATTATGTGATGATGCTACAAAGGATTTCTTTATCAAGTTCTTTTTGCCAAATCTTTACTCTTAAACCAGAAAATAATGGAATGCGTTTTATTTTTTTTTTTTTTAAGGACAATAATGATTCTGCTGATTCTGAAGAAATGCATATATTTAGACAAGAACTTGAAAATTTCAATTACTGATCAATGATATGAGGCCAAAACATCAATAAAATGGTCAAATCCTTTGGTGAAAATACACTTTTGTGTAATTATTTATATTATTATTTAATATGTAGTAAGTAGACTTGCTCTGAAACTGTCGCAAATCGCGCAAGCTGCTTCTTATTGCTTAAAATATATAATGATCATTTGGCGTTTTTTCTAACTCATTGTTTACACTATACTTGAACAGTGGTGAGATTTATGATGGGTGTTTTGACTTGAAAAGAAACATATTCATCGACATTGACAAAAACGGTTAATAAAAGACATGCACTTTTTAATACTAATACTTTATTTTTTTCACTATAGATTAAGGAGGTAATATTTTCCTTTATAGGCAAGGTATTCATGCTCAATAAAAATTTAAAGTTAAAAGATGATCAACCGACGGATTTTTTTACTCACGGATGATGTTTAACAAACAATATTAATATCTTTTTGTAAATATTATATAAAAATATTAAAGGGTTTCTTGAATTTGGACATGGAGATCGAGTAACAAAAGTTTAATAAAATTTTTTTTAAACATTAATACCGATCAAACCCAATATTCAATGAATATCTGATGAAAGAACAGATGTAACAATAACGCGAGGAGGAAGAAAGGATCAAGTTCTTCAAAATAAAGCCTAGAAAAATCAAATTGGAAAGTGACAATTAATTAGAAAACGTAAAATGATAACTGTAATTAAATAACAAAAAATTTCAAGTATGTTAGAATAGCATGTACGAATTAGAGAAGGAATTAGGAGCACCAGAATAAATTAAAATGGTGGAATTTATTTTTTTAAAACAATAAATGTATATGTATGTTTGTATGTTTGTTTGTTTGTGTTCGCTCGTTTGTTTGTTTATTTATCCATTGTTCATTCATTTCATTCATTTGTTGACCTTTCTTTGTCGAATAATTCCTCCGTCTTTTGTGCTGATGACTGTTTAAACTATCTGCATATTGTTTAGTCCAAAGTTGAAGTTGACTTACTGTCATTTATCCAAAAAATAACACTCAAGACAAGATTCTATTCTTCTAGGCGTTCGTTTTCATTTTTTTTTGATTCAATTGTTGACATATAGTATACAAAGTAATAAAAATAAAAATACTCACTTTCGATTCATTTTTTAATATGGTGTTATATTAGTGCGCCCAACACATCTCATTATTCTTCTCCATTGTCCTAATATTTTACCATTAATCATGTGATATATAGTAAAGTAAATTCAATGAGCAGTAATTGCTTCCACAGAATAAAAGACTGATTCCAAGTTTAAATCATCAAGTTCTGTCAGTAGCAATTTCAAATCAAAAAAAAAATTTTTATAATTTTCATTTACACTTTCATTCTCATCTGTATTTACAACTATTCGGATAACAAATCACTTATTGTTTGATTGCTAAAAGTTGTCTTTTAAATTTTTGTGTAGACGTGAAGATTAATAAACGTGGACAGGAAAATTCAGTTTATTAACAATGATATAGGCGACGAAACATTACTTTTTTTTTATAATAATAAAAGGAAATTTATGTTGTAAAAAAAAATGGTGGAATTTTCAAATGCTAATGCTAATACAAATGCTAATGCAAATGCTAATACCAATGCTAATGCCGATGCTAATACAAATGCTAATACTATGCCAGCAAAATTTTAAAGAAAAACTAGACTACTATAACATAAAAATATGTATTTTCTGGTCCTCCCCTTATTGTTAAAAATGATCGACAAAAATATTTACATTTTAATTCTAAACATGATGACGTCGCTGCAGGTTTGAACCGGTTAACTTTGGAATAATAACAAATTAAAAATTAATGGTTTCACGAATAATAATTTGTTTGAATTGTTCAATTAGATTCGGCCAATTTCCAAGACACTCAAAGACCGACTCTTCCCATAAATCATCTGGCATTGATTCTCTAGTGGTAAATAATATTCTTATGAAATGATCATAAAGTTCAGAATTTTCATTTTTACTGAAGATAATCTCATCGTCTTTAACAACATCGTTATTTAAAATAAAATTATTATAATAATAATTGTTATTAATTGTATTGATTATATGTAAATCACCTTCAAGATATTTTGACGACAACAGTGATGTTGGCTGATATTGATGTTTTGGTTGCTGGTCAAGTCCATATCTTTGATTTTGTAGTAATCTCACTTTACTTTCTTGATATAAACAAAATTTTAAATTATTAAAGAAATTTTGATATTTCGATTCTATATTAATCAATACATGTGGATAATCTCTTATTATGTTTATATCAAAATTGTTATTATTATTAACGTTAGTATTAGTGCCGAATATTATATCTTGTAATTTGTTAAAAATACTGAAATTTGGGTTAATAAAACTCTTGATAATTTCAAATAAATCATCATCAGAAATTGAATTCGAGTATAAAAGGTTTATAAAACTATCCCAATCTTCATCTGAACAATTCGGACAATTTCTTTTGATTAGATTTAACTCTTGACTATTATTTATTATTATTTCCTTGATTTTTTTACCACGATCTTTATTATTTATTATTTGCTGTTGATGACGTTGTTGATGATAAAGTTTCTTTGTATTGGATTCTTCTGAATCATTAATGCTTAGAGAACTTAATGGCGAAGATAATGAATTGACAAGATAATCGATTTCATTATAATGTAAATCTGCTGGTGATGATGATATATCTGATGCATTTTCGTTATACATCACCATATCCATGTCTTTATCATTATCATTACTATTATTAAAATCATCAATAGATGAATAATCTGACAAAGAGGGCGAAGAAGAAAAAATAAGAGAAGGGGTGGGTGAAAGAGGGGTAAGAGAAGAAACTAGCTGTGGTATGAAAACAAGTTCATCCAGCCTAGATAAAGTTGCACGATCTGAAGTCATTTTGGTATCTATATATGTAACGTTATTTTGTATATGAGCTGGATTTGGTGAATTAGACATCGTATTATTATTTATTATTATTTTGAATTCCTGGTTTAATTTTTTTTTTAAAAATTGTTGTATTAGGAAAACTTTGCCTTTTATATAGTCGATCATTTCACACACCTTAAAAAAATAAAATAATAAATAGTAATAGCAGTATTATCATGTCACAATTGTACTATAAAAACTGAAGAGACAATTGGATGATTGCCTAAACTGTTTTAGGAAAATTTATTTCAGCAATAGTTTTAGCTTTATATATGATTAACAAGGCTGAGTAGTAACTTCGACTAAATTATTAGTATTGGTCATATGGTTAAGTCCAATTCATCCATTACTAAATTAGGACTATAGCAGCCCGATGAATAAGATTTAAAGAGCCATAAAATTAATTTCAGCCATTATTGGTTTTTGTCTGACAATCATTTATTAAAAGAGGCAATTTCGACGGCCATATATAGTAAAGACCACGTCATGTAGACAGCTGGCGCGTGATCACGGCCGTTGGGTCATCTTCTTTAGATATTGTTCTTCTATTTCTTCTATAGGATGGAACCAATTGAAGGATAGAATACGAAACTGTGACTTGTAAACTACATAAGAAGATAAAAAAGAAGATTAAGGAAAAACGCCTCTATACCACTTTATTAATTGTCATTACCCCTTCTTAGTCAGAGGATTTAGAATTAATTTATCAATTGTTTCCCTTTTATTCATTTTAATTCATAAAGTATAAATAAATAAATCTTACCATATCGAAATCATCTCAATTTCCCACAAGCGTGAAATCGAGACAAATTATCCATTAATTAATTCACTCTTTAATAGCACATTATTACGTGACAATATACATCTTTATTTTTGATAAAATATTCTTAGTTTTCCTAATAAGGAAGGTGGGTCTTATGGCTTAAAATTAATAAATGATATATACTTGACTAACTGCAAGGGACAAACAATGAATGGTTGATAGTTGACTCGAACGAATAAATTAACTTTTATTATGGGTCCAGATAGAAATGAATGTTTATAAATTCTTTTATAAACAGTGTAACAGCACTTCATAGTTAAATTATTCTTAGAACACGAAAAAAAAAAAAAGATAATCACAATGGGACACATAATAACAATGATATTTAATCTCGCAATAACGAATTTTATTTTTTAAAAATCGTTATAACGCGAATTAATTATTAGATTTACACAACTTATTTATGCGTACGATTTTTTTTAGTTAGACTGAATAATAAGAAACTACGAGGTTAATCCAAACTTGATGATAATAAAAATCGTGCGACGCAATTGGTGTTGTTTAATATTTAACATTAATAATTTCTCGAACATACCATACATAACTACACCAAAATAATACAGATCCTTTTGGATTAAAATATTGATAAAAAAGGCAATTTTCAAAAAAAATGGTTTTCCCATCAATAAATTGTTTATTATTCAGAATGATTGATGACTCGATATTTTTATTAACGTCTTTTGCAAGCTATGTGTGATTTTTTCAAGATAAAATAATTAATTTTTAATTTAGCAGATTTTTAAGAAACATTATCAGATGGAAACTGCGACTAGTGGATCTTTACAATTCCCAGATATTGAAACTTTATAATCTATTAATCTATTATTGGAATAGTACTAATGACATTGGCTTATTAGAAACTAACTTTTTTAGGTCTAATTATAAAAATTTAGGTTGCAATGACAAAAAAACAACTAATACAACAACTTTATATAGAATATAATAGATCGAAGCTTGGACCAAATCTAAATCAGAATGAACATCTAATAGTTGATTTGAGAAGTAAAAAAATCAGCTGGAGGGTTTATTTTCCTAGTCCAAACCCCATATAAAAATAAAGAAACATTTGAGAGTTAATTTTCCTCATTAAACCCCATACAATAATTCATTTACACATTCTTATCAAGAGTATAAACAGTGCCGCCTCATGAAAAGTAAAAGAAAAAAATGCCTCATCACGTGATAATTATTTATTAGATGAAGTAAAAGGTTACTTATAACTTTCATTAACATGGTAGAAGATTCACACTATGCATGTTGTCAAAATTAATCTGGTTTCGACTCAATCGCAATTTTTACTCATATGACTCAATCAGTGCTGGCTGCGTAAAAGTGTTAAAATCCTAATTTGGTAATATTTTTCTTGATTGAACTTGACTAAACTTGACTTAACGTAATGATAATGAATAAAGAGTTTAGTCTGTTTAGCTAAATTCTCATCTAGGTTACGCAGCCAGCCCTGCGTCAAAAAATTCACCTGATTGAATCAAGTGATCAACCTACTTCTACCACAAGATTCAAAACTTTCTCTAAAGTATCTTTCCAGAAGTGTTTAATTTCATTTTTTTGCTAAAAATTTTATTGGCTTAAAAGAACTCATAGTAGATGTGCAATGATGAAACGAGAGTACATGGTTGCTTTCTTAATAACAATAACCATATAATTGATGACAGAAAGTTTAACTTTGAGAGAAGCATAATGCGGACCAAACAACCTTAAACCTATAAAAGATATTTGAATTCGGTTAATTAAAAGTTGCTTCACTTCTTATAATAAATACAAAATATGAAAAAATCAAAGGATTTTAAATTTTTCTAAAAAGATCAGGTAACATATTCCCTACAAAAAGTTTAGATACTTAAAATGTATTTAAATCATGCTTAAAATATGCTTAAAACATATCTTTTTTAATAATGTACAAAATCAAGTATGTTTTAAGTAACTTTTTAAGTGTATTTTAAGTGTATTTCAAGTATGCTAGTTTACCATCAAAAGTATGTTTGAAGTATATTTTAAGTACATAGTATATTTAAGTGTGTTTGAGTATAATCCATATACTTAAAACATACTTAAAATTCACTTAAAATGTTCCTGCTCTCTTTCATCGGTAAATTTTAAGTAAATTCTAAATATATGGTGTATATTTAAGTGCATTTTAAGTATTTAAACTTTGTGTAGGGATTGCACGCGTACCCGGAATTTGGTACACTGGTTTCTGCTGCACGTTATTTGTGGAAAGGTTTAAAGTTGTAACAATATACATTATACCGAACTTGAACTATGATTATTTTTTGATTTTTACTGTAATTTTTGTTATTATTATTACTAATTTTAGTCGGACTACTACTTGGAATACATAGATCTTTGAAAATATGCATTAAAAAAACGTTCGATAGCAGATTTGGAGAATGACATTTATTTCGTGACAATGACCTCAACAGTTTACAATCATTATCCAAAAAAATTGAAAATAAGTGTTTCAAACTATAAAATTAACACAAATTAACTCATTAATACAATATGTAAATTGAAATTACAAAAGTAACGAACTTTGAATAATTTTATGGTCTTGACTGAATTTTCAATTCAGCAAATCACGTTGCTGAGCCTGGAATGGTGATACTGTCAAATTCTTTTACAACGTAGTTATTATTAACGTACACCACCCGATTTCCAAACTCACTCACTGAAAATGTTTGACAATTGATTGAAACAAATTCGCCTTTGCAAAAATCAAATATAAATTTTCCTCCTATTTATTTTTCTATTATATATTTCTTTTGTGTAGGGAAATTATCTGTCATAAAAACAGATTATCCTATAATAGGCAATAACACCTTTGATTATTTAAATTCATATTATCTGGAACTTCCATCCTCTCGAAATGTAGAATGCTAGCTAATATATCAGAGTTAATTCTGCATTTTCTAGATTACACTTATTCACTCTTTTGTCAATTTCTGATTTGGCTGGCTTCGATTCCATAGACCAGCATTCGCTTGACTTTTATTAGATATATTGTTTTGAACCAAAAAAATATAAATTAATATAATGTCATTTCAAACAAAACAAAATATCAAGTTGATCGCTCAAACCACACATGATATCAGTACTTTCCCACTCTAGACAAACCAGAAGTTTGCCTTCTATAAAAAGTTACTCGAACAGCAGCTGCAGGGATGTTGGTCATTTTATGCCAGAAGATTTCAACATTGAACAAAGTAGGAAAACGTAACCACTTTAAGCAAGTTCTGGATTCAAATTAAGGATGTTAGCCGAAGTGGTTTTTGAAAAAATCAATTTCGGCAGGCAACTTCGGATTTACAATATTTCATAATGATGGACATAAAAAAACTACCCAGAATTTTGGCTATTGAGTTAAAGTGTTCAAATAATTTTGAGTATAATTTCGGCAACTATGAAAAACTATTTCAGCATTTCGAATTCGGTGACAATTATTTACTAAGTGAAATAATTTCGGCTAACATCTTTAATTCAAATTGCACAATGATATCATTCTCCGGAAGTTTCTTTATAAAAACATTTAATGCCTTTCAATGAAAAACATACCCCAACCAGTAATTCCCCATTCCTCGAGAGGCCTAAGTACTCTTTGAAAAGGCTAGTATCAGTAATGAGGATTAAATAATTTTATCAAAGCAATAGGAAGGAAAAAGGTCCACCTGAATATAAAAACCGTGAGAATAGGATTTTTTTTTTCAAAGTTAGTAGCACAATGGTGAATGTTATCTTGAGATCACAAAAAATAATTTTTTTTACTAATAAAAATTTTATCATTAGAAAATTTAAACTTATTAGTTGACAACCTTATCAATTCCAACAACAATGCCCTACCATTATAATATATTAGTAAACTTATAAGTGACTTAACAAAGTTATTGATTGAATCAAATTTTATGATTTAGAAATTAGTGTTTCTCATTCTGCTATTTTAAAAGCAAGGACTTCATATTTTAAAGCTGCCTTATCAAATAATTGGATAAAAAAATCTGATGATGGTATTATTTTATTTGAAAAAAAAACATTTCTCCAAATGTATTTGAAGTTTTTTTAACATATGTTTATTTAGTTTTTATTTAACCAATTAATTGAATGATTATTATAATAATTTAAATTACTTTATTTTATTTATATATAGATATATTTACAATGGAACTTTTAATATAGATAATTTGGATGGAAACGA